GGTGTAGGGGAGAGGCCGGGAGGGATGAGCAGGGCCCCGGGGCGTTGGCCCGGCAGCGGTTGTCTGAGTAAGTCCCATCGGCTCCGGCGGGAACTGAAATAAAGGCCAAGGATATGAAAGGGGAAACGGGGACCGCACCCGGCCACACTGAGGAGGCTTCGGGCTCTGGGTCCCGTAGGAGACGGGTGGCGTGGAGGTAGGGGCTTCGGGGCCCAGTGGGGGGAGTTGGGGGGCAGAGCGAGGCCCCGGGCTGCCTGCTCTCTTCTGGGAGCCATGACCAGCCCGAGGCCTGGGAAGGGGAAGGACCGCTGGCTGAGGGCCTGCCTGTGGCCGTGCCGGACCGCCTGGCAGTTGAGATAAAAAGCTGAGTGGGGTCCGGCCAGTGCGGCTCAGTGGTTGAGTGTCGACCTATGAACCAGAGGTCACAGTTCGATTCCCGGTCAGGGCACAGGCCTGGGTTGCAGGCTCCATCTCCAGTAGGGGGTGCACAGGAGGCAGCTGATCCATGATTCTCTCTCATCGTTGATGTTTCTATCCCTCTTCCTTCCTCTCTGAAACCAATTAAAAAACACATGTACGTAGATGTGTATACATACATGGGGTGGGGGGGAGAGGGAAGCGCGCGGGCAGAGTGGGTGGCCCAGCCCCTGTGGCTCAGTTGGATGCCATCCTGAGCCCCTCAGGGTTGCCGGTTTGATGCCTGGGTGGGCACACGCTTGGGTGGCAGGTCCGATCCCAGTCAGGGCGCCCATGGGAGGCACTGGATTGATGTCTCTCTCACATCGGTGTTCCTCTCTCGCCCTCCCTCCCTGGGGCCGGCAGAGGGGCTCCAGCCCAGCTCCTCTCCCACGCGGGCAGGGTCTCCGAGGGCTCCCCAGCTCCGGCCAACTCTGTGCCCAGGGGACGCGGAGCCCGGGAGGGCAGGGTGTGCGCCACAGCCTGGGAGTCAGTGTGCCACGGCACTGACCGAGACCAACCTCTCCGTCTGTCCTGCCTGGTGGGGCCTGGCCAGCCTTCCTCCAGCGCTGCCTCAGTTTACCTAGGGCAGGCCCCAGTTCAAGGACCTGCACGTGGGTGGCCGGGAGACAGGACAGGTGCCCCCTTCCCACCCAGCATGGTTTGGGCAACCACAGGAGGGGGAAATGGTCATTCTTGTCCCCGGGATGCCAGGCTGACCGAGCCGCGGGCATGGTGGCCGGTCCCCCCTTGGGGAGGGCTGCAGCCGGGAGGGGCCCCCTCACATCCTCAGTGGCTCCCAGTTGGCTCCTCGGGACCTGCCCTTGGCCGCTGGTGCCGTCCCCCCACTTCCAAATGTTTGGTCGGGCAGCCCCTCCCTGGCCCCAGGCCGGGCGGCGGGCTCTCCTTGGGGAGAGGTGTGGGGTGCAGCTGTGCCTGTCGTGCCTTAGCCGGGTGCTGCTCCCGCCCGTGGCACGTGGGGAACCTCGGGCTTGGAGGGATGACCTCCCCCAAGGCACCGCGGAGGCGGCAGGGTTGGAGGATAAGCTAGGTCCTGTCCCTGGCACCTGGCGGCCAGCTGTGCGGGTGCCCGGGTGGGTCACTGGGGGGCCTTCTGCAGCGAGCGGGGTCATGCCTGGGGGCAGGGCATTTCCCTGGGCTTCCCACGCCGTCTGCCCGAGACCAGCCTGCAGAGCCCGGGGTGCAGCAGCCCTGGGCACGCAGTCGGCGCCTTCTCGCAGCTGTGCGTGCCCCTCCTTGTCCCCTCTCATCTGGGACGCACCCTGCCCCCTGCAGACAGCGCAGGCCGCCCTGCTCTGCGGTGGGGGCCCCGGATGCTCACCCCGTGGGCTGGCTCTGGCTCCCTGCAGCCCCCCCGCACCCCGTGGGGGCGGTGACCGTCCGCATAGAGCACCTGGCCTGCCTGGCCGAGGAGGGACTGGGTGGAGGCCCGTGGAACGCCGTGGGGGCGGTTCCCGTGTGTGTGCCGTGAGCACTGCGCTCTCCGGTCCCGTGAGAAAGGGGGGTGGGAGTTGGGGGTCACGGGAAGGAAGAGGATGAGGTTCCTGTGTGGGGAGGCGCCCAGGGCTACCAGGGGGCAGCAGCTGCTGCCGCCCACCCCCGATTTCCGCCTTTGTCAGGGGTTTGCAGAAGTGGGGTGCTGGGGCGCTGCCTGGCCGGGGTCCTGGCGCCTGGGAGGCGGGCTGGCTTGGGGGGTGCAGTGGGCAGCACCGCGGGCCCTTGGTGCTGACAGGAGAGCCGGGCAGACGCAGCGGAACCAAAACTGCTGTGTCATTGCCGCCCCGGCAGCTGTTGCCAGGGTGACGGTGAGTTTCCCACGCTTCCTCTGGCGGCGGCGGGCTGCCGTGCAGGGCGCAGGGCTGTGAGGAGGGCAGGGTGTCCCTCGCAGTGGCTGCCCGAGGGGTGTCTCTGTCCCCCTCTCCCCCAGACACGCGATCGGAGACCCCGGGCATGTGGCCTCGGGGTGGACCCCAGCTCTCCCCCCTCCTCGCTGTGACCAGGCCTCAGTGCCCCTCTGTGTGCTGGGGATCCCCCAAGCGCCTGGCTCACCGGGGTCATGGGGCTCACACTGTCCTGCCGAGGGAGTGCCCAGTAAGGGAGGCGGTTCTTGGGCGGGCGAGGGGCAGGGGCTGTGCGGGTCCCCTTCTGAAGCCAGCAAGTGGGGGGTCGGCACGCAGCTGGTGCTCCGTGGGCTCAGCCCTGCTGTTCCCCGGCTGTGGCCTGGGGTGGGCAGAGCCCCCTCTGAGCCTCAGTTTCTCTTTGTAAAGTGGGGTGTGGCAGCGCTTCCCTGGCTGCAGGGCTGCGGGGGGCTGTGGCCAGGCTGAGCCCGTGTTCCCTCCTCAGCTCAGCTCGCCCATGAACCCCGTCAGCAGCACGGAGGACATCAAGCCCCCGCTGGGCCTCAATGGCGTCCTCAAGGTCCCGGCCCACCCCTCAGGGAACATGGCGTCCTTCACCAAGCACATCTGTGCCATCTGCGGGGACCGCTCCTCAGGTAGGGGGGCAGCGGGCACAGGGCCCTCGGGTGGGGGCGGGGCAGGGTCGGCCAGCAGTGAGGGGTGCCCGGGCTCTGGACCTTCTCGGGTTTTCACATCGGGGAGACCATAAGTGGGGCGCCCATGGTGGCCTGGGTGGTCCGGAGGCCCCGGAGAGGAGGCAGCTGGTGGTGGTGACGCTGGCACAGGAGGCGGCAGTGCGGGCTGTGCCTCTCTGGGCTGAGCTGGGGCAGAGGACCCCTCGCATTCACCTCTGCACCCCAGTAGCCCCTGGGGAGGACACGGACAGGGCCAGCCCCCGCGGGCCTGGGCCTCACCCCAGCGCTGGAGCCCGGAGGCCAGGTGGGGCCAGGGCCCGGGGGTGCAGGGGGTGCAGGCGCTCACGGCCGCCCGCCCGCAGGCAAGCACTACGGCGTGTACAGCTGCGAGGGCTGCAAAGGCTTCTTCAAGCGGACGGTGCGCAAGGACCTGACCTACACCTGCCGGGACAACAAGGACTGCCTGATCGACAAGCGGCAGCGGAACCGCTGCCAGTACTGCCGCTACCAGAAGTGCCTGGCGATGGGCATGAAGCGGGAAGGTAGGCGCCGGGCCCTCCTTCCTGAGCCGCCCCCAGCCCTGCACCGGAAGCTTCGCCGCACTCTCGTGGCGGGTGGCTGCTTGCATACCTCTTGT